CCCCTTACCGTTCATCTTTATTTTAAAAAAAAAAAAAAAAAAAAGATCTTAAGTGGAATTAGTGCTGGGCGATATAGGAATATATTTTATAGTTTCCATATTCATTTCCAAAACATGGAGTTCAACTTTAGTGGGATAGTGTAGATATATGTGGATATTTGAGACCAGGCTATAAATACCTGTGTTTAGAGGCTGGTACCTTTCAAAATGTCTGGCTTCTCTTTTTTAGTATATTAAATAAAAGGGCTTAGGAGGGTTTTTGCATAGTTTGGAAGAAAAACGTAAGAGGGAAGTTTTGTGTTTATAACTTATGAACTGTTTTTACCCACAACACTGCTGATACCACGTGTGGGTTTTTTCCACCCCGCCCAGTTCTCCAGTTCCCTGGATACCAAGCCCGTACAACTTAATTCATTTCTGACACTAACTACCTGGAGGTAATACCCCACAGGTTAAGGGCTCAGTCCCACAAGACTGCTCCTACTTCAGATGCCAGTTGCAAGTCCTGGGCCTCCTGTACTTTTGACTGAAAGTTATAAATTGAGGTGTTGCGACCCCCTGTTCGTATTCCATAATTTGCTAGAGCAGCTCACAGAACTCAGGGAATATGGTTTACTTACTATTGCCAGTTTATTGTAAAGGATACAGATGAATAGCCATGTGGAAGAGGTGTATAGGGCAGCGTCTGGAAGGGTCCCAGGCGCTTCTGTCCCCGTGGAGTTGGGGTGTGCAACCCTCCTGGAACGTGGGTGCATTTTTACCAACTGGAAAGCTGACACCCCGTCCTTTAGGGTTTTTAGGTCTTGTTACTTAGGCATGATCGATGAAATCACTGGCCATTGGTAACTAACTCAGTCTCCACCCTTTTCTCTTCCCCGGAGGTTGGGGGCGTGGGGCTGAACATCCCAACCCTCTAATCCTGCCTTGGTCTTGCTGGTGACCAGCCCCCACCCTGAGGCTGTCTAGGGGCCTACGGAGAGTGTTCTCATTAGAACAAAAGATGCTCTTATCATTCGGGAAATTCCAAGAGATTTAGGAGCTGTGTGCCAGAAACCAGGGACAAAGACGAAATATATATTTACCATGCAACTGAAACCAAGAAGAAATAATGTAAGATGTAGGAGATCAGAGTCATCACTGACAAAGGAAAAACCAGTTTCTAAATCTTTGGACTCAGTAAGCATTATTTAGAAATTGTTTAAAAATGTTTTCATGTGGTGCTGTTTTTATTTTCACCCCACATATGGCCTTGTGTGGTTTTGATTTTTACGTTCATTTTTGTAGATGAGCAGAGAGAGAGAGTTCAGTGATTGGCACACGAACACACGGACACTGTAGGAGAGAGGCAAGGGACTGTGTGTTGTCAGCACAAA